TTAAAATATGAAAAGCCTGAATGGGTTGTGAATAGCTCATTTTTTCACCTTTTTTCACCTTTAAATCGAAATGATCCGAAAATGAAATAAAAATTAAAAAAACTGAGCGCGATGATTTCTGCGCATTAACAGGGCAAACCCTTTCAGTCATACCAGATTTGAAAAAAATAATATTTGCTTTCAAAAAGTGGTACCGAACTCTCAAAATTGCAGTTTTTGCTAAATTTATGTTACTTCCGTTGCCGAAAGGAAAATGTACCGGTAACAAAAAAAATGACATTTTGGACCCCGGGACATATGAACTTTGTTTTATACAAATCGAACAATAAATAATTAATCCAGGACTGAAAAACTGAATTAGCCAGTGGGGGCGAAGGAAAAATACGGTGACAAAAAATGTTGACATTTTTTGTCAAATCAGATGACCCTTTAACCCTTGGTAAAATACCACATAAAAATATTCATTAATAAAAAAGTTTTTCGTAAAAATTTATATTTTCAAAATTTGGCGCCTAATATCTCCGAAGATTCGTCGAAAATAAAAAATCCAAAGAACCATAGCTATGTGCCTTGTCTCTGGCTATGTCAAAATGTATCAAATATTACAATCCGACAATTATGGATAACATTACGGCAAAATATCGAAAAAAGACAACTTCGGTGATATCGGACATTTTGCATTGTCGCAGAACGTTGGAAATAGCTTTAAAATTTAAGTCAAACCCACTTTCCCAGTAAAACCTGAAGACATCGAATCGATCCGACAAGTAGTTTCTGAGATATGCTCAAATGGAAAAATAATAATAATAATAATAAGAAGAAGAATAATAATCCGAACAAAAACAATAGTGTTTCACACTGGCTACGCAGTGTGAAACCCTAATAATAAAATTTAGATCCCAAATGATATTGTATTACACAGTAACCACAATTAACTTATTCTGCGTGATTAGAGGATATTCCAATACAAAAGCCAGTTAGTAAAAGCTCAGATATCAGATCTACACACTATCCATCCAGCAGTGTATGATAGGGTGCCCCGTGCAGCGAAAATTTTCCCTACTGAAAGTTGAAATGAAATGAAATGGGGTTTAACGTCCTACTGTTCTGCTCCTGAACTGGGCTAATGAAGACGGGCATACGTCATACAGTCTGCTATGAGGGAAATTTTGCCCGGACATCGGCGCAACGGCCTACTCTTATATCGAACTCCAACTGCCATGGGATCTTTTACAAGCACTCCAATATGTACACAGATCCTCGGTTTTTCGTCTCATCCGTACGACTAGACAGCTGTCCTTGTCAGGCCCTCCATCCTGCATCACTGACAAGGGGAAACCACACCAGAAAATCTGGATGAACTTTCTCGGCCAATGCAGGGATCGAACACCCGAACTCAAGGCTAGCGGGCCAGCATCTTACCCACTTAGCCAGTTGAACTCGAAACGGCGAATGTGCACGTTTCATTAGCTTGTCTCACAGCAGTGCTGTAACTACCTCAGAGCAACGAGGGGGGCGGGAAGTGTTCTCAGGGGTGCTGTAAAATTGACTGAAAATGTATATCTATTGTTTTTATGACTGAAAATGTATATCTATTGTTTTTATGATCGACAATTCTTTCACTGGGTGGAGGGGGGGGCGAAACTTTTTGCAGGGTGGGCTTTGTCCCCCACCCCCCCGTTTACTTACGGGCCTGTCTCGAAGTGTTTTCTGGCTGTGCGATAATACTCAGGGCAAGAGTCTATAAATAGCCATCAGCCGTGAAATTCTCTATTGTTGACGATTCTGAATAGCAGTAATATTTAGCTTTTTGGTTATTACAGCGGCTTTAGAAATTGTTTTACTTTTTAAATTGCCTTATCATTAACTATACCGTTAGGAGCGGCATCTTTTGGTTTAGTACAAATAATATCTCTGAAACACTCGGGTTAGGCAATAACATAATATTAGCGGTAGTTTCATTTTACTTTTACAAAATGAAATGAAATGGGGTTTAACGTCCTACTGTTCTGCTCCTATACTGGGCTAATGAAGATGGGCAAACGGCATACAGTGTGCTATGAGGGAAATTTTGTCCGGGCTGCGGGCACTATCGCCTACTCTTATTTTATATCGAATTCCAACTGCCAAGGGATCTTTTACGTGCATTCCTATGTATACACGGGACCTCGGTTTTTCGTCTCATCCGAAGGACTAGACCAGCTGTCCTTGTCAGGCCCTCCATCCTGCATCACTGAAAAGGGTGAACCACGCCGGAAAATCTGAATGAAATTTCTCGCCCAATGCAGGGATCGAACACCCGACCTCCAGTCTAGCGAGCCAGCGTCTTACCCAATTAGCCACGTGATCCCCTTTACTTTTACAAGGTTGTTAAAACAATTGTTGAGTTGCCTAACGTGCGTGTTTCTAACTTAACTTTCTTGTTCCAGCTTTCTGTTATGTTTTGTTAAAAAGTAGTCTTGATTATCCCGGCCTGTCAATCAAACGGAGAATGACGGTAGACTGGTTAAGCGGGACTAATGACACTCTATTTATTCAGTCTATTATTTATTGATGGTTAAATGGTTATAGCTTAAGTACAACATGATCGTTTATTTAGTGACTATAAATCTGCGAAACTTATTGAAGGCTTGGTATATATATGGTTTGACAAGGTACAAGCTTTGATCTTCAATATTTGGGCATATGTTTTGTTGCCTTCCAACTTATCTTTTTTATTAAAGATCGTAGACTTGATTGCCTAATAATTAAGGATGTAAACAGCTAAGGAAGTAACGTTCGGATATACGCGATTATCAAAAGGAACCAAGATCTTAGTCTGTAATGGTGATATATTCACAAGTTTTTTTTTAAATCAGATAAAAATTGTGACGTGATTTTTTCTACATTCAAGGGCCATAATTCAGGAAGATACAATCCGATACGTGCGAATATCGAAAGGAACCAAGATCTTTGGATTATAAACACACTGCTGGGTGCATAGTGTGTAGAACCTATCTCTAAGTATTGACTAACTGGCCTCTGTGTTAGAATATCCTTAAATGAAGTAGAAAAGGTTCATTGTGTCAGTAGTCGCTTAAACCCGTCAGTATTTGTACCGTACATCAGTATTCCTATAAATGGTCAGTAATAATCATAAGGTGATTATTTAAGTCAATTGGTTACACTGAGAAGTAGTAATAGTGTTATTTGTACGTTTAGGGCATAGATATCTCCCGATTTGGTAAATTTGTATGAATATCGGTAAAATTCTAATTATCGCAACAAATCTAATACGAAGAGGCTAAAATCTGTAGATACGGTGTGTTAATTAACAGGGGTGAGAAATTGACTGAGTGGTGATATAATTATCACTAGGGGTGAAAATCTCGGGGACGGTGCGTTTTCTGTACCGGTGTGTTAATTAACGAACGGGTTAAAAACGACTGACACGGTGTGTATTCTTTGTTTGGTGAGTTTTCTCGAAAGCATGTTATAACTGCACCAAAGGTGTTTTATCAAGGACCAACAGGCTTTATCTGACGCGTAGGTGTTAAATCCAATTTACCATGCATTTTTTTGTTCGACTGTGTGTTTTACGCAGATCGGTCTTTGTTAAGTGTAGGTCTTTATACATGGATTTATACTTGCTGTATAGTTACATCTGTGCCTTCTTTAATCTATGCGTATTTTATTTGTTGATGAATACTAGGTTTTTTATACTGCATACCATTGCCTGGCTGCAGTTATTTACATTTCTTGTCTCTTTGTGGGTTTCCTTTGTTAACATTAATGTGGTACCACTGAACTATAAATGATTGCCTTAAAATCGGTTGCACGCAATATCGTTATTATCGATATCCCGCCAAACCTTCATTTGATTATCCGATATATTCTAATCTCTATTGATATCAGATGCTCACAAATTTAAATGATGCATATAAATTTCATACATATTGGATGATAACCTTCATCAATCGAGAATTAACAAGGTTGAACAAAGTGAAACAAGGGCCTAACTCTAGAAGTAATAAACGGAAATTGCTGAAATTCAATAGCCTTCTTCATGTCACTAATTTAAACAATGCATATAAATTTCATACTGATTGGCAGATAACTTTTGATGTTAGAGTGTTCCCAAGGTGCAACAAATTGAAACAAGGGCCATAACTCTAGAAGTAATTGATGGAAATTGCTGAAATTCAATAGGATTCTTCGTTTCACTAATTTAAATAATGCATAAAAAATTCACAAAGATCGTGTGATAACTTTTGGCGCTAGAGCGTTCACAAGTTTCAATAAAGTGAAACAAGGGCCATAACTCTTAGACGTAATAAACGGAAATTGCTGAAATTCAATAGGCTTCTTTGTGTTACTAATTTAAATAATGCATTTAAATTTCAGAAAGATTGGATAATAACTTTTGCCGTTAGAGCATTCACAAGGTTAAATAAAGTGAAACATGGGCCATAACTCTAGACGTAATAAACAGAAATTGCTGAAATTCAATAGGCTTCTTCGTTTCACTTTTTGGGTAATAGTGTTCACAAGGTTCAACAAAGTGAAACAAGGGCCATAACTCTAGATGACGGGGGTGACAGCAATATACGCCCACATGGAAATGTGGGCGTATAAAAACTGAAATAAATTTAAATGCATATAGTTAAACCAACTTGGGCTGCACACATTAAGCACACAGGAATGGCCGATCCAAAACTGAGCTGCGTTGCGCATGCTAGGGGACCTGAAATTCAATCGAATCATGGAATAGATTTCGTCAGATGGCAAATCACGATTTTAACGAATAGTCCCGAATTGTACTGGTAGCAGGTGTTCATTCTTCTCGGAAAAGAAATAAAAAATTGAAAACCCTAAACAAATATGTTGGCCGAGCGTACACAAAAGCAGTCTATTTTAACGGACATTCAAATGGATATATCACACAGGTATAGTTTCTTGATAGTTTATGATAAAGGATCATCTAGGGCTGTTACCTATGAGCAAATATCAATTGTACCAACCTGAGCATATGCACTTTGTGTAACTTTCCTCAAGTCATCCTGTGCGCCAGTTGTGATTTTACCAAAAAATATTTCTTCTGATACTCTTCCGCCTAATGCCATACACATTCTGTCTAGTAGCTATATAAATAAATATAAAACAAGTCAACAGTGAGACTGATGTCCCCTGCCGAAATCCTAAAATAAATAGACAACACATTTTAATTTATCGCACATTTATTTTTTTTTTCAAAAGTATAAAGCAACCAAACTGATTATCAACTATGCACTAAGTTTCATCACTCTCTATCAGAAAGAATCAAACCATTGACCAATGAAATTGCTTAGATCTTCTTAGCTTTAGCTCAAAATGTTAATCATTGAATTTAGTTAAGACATTCACCTAATGAACATCTACATCAAGTTTAAACATTCTACCTCCATTAAAAGCAGAGTTGTTATATGTTCCAAAGTCTTGACCAATCAAATTGCTTATCTCTCCTTAGCCTAAGCAGAAAATTCTCATCATCGAACTTAGTCAAGGTGATGATATAATGAATCTATACTCACGAGTTTCATCACTCTCACTTAATTATAACCAAAGTTATCCTGTCCAAAAGCATCAACCAATCAGATTTCTTATCTCTGCTTACCATAAGCAAACAATGTTTATCATCGAACTCCATCAAGGCATTCACCTAATAACCACCTACGTCAAGTGTGAACATTCTAGCTCAATTAAGAATGAGAGTTATTGTGTTCCAAAGTCTCGACCAATCAAAATGCTTATCGCTCTGCTCACCCTGAGCAGAAAATAATCATTATCGAACTTAGTCAAGGTATTGGTGTAATAAAACTATACACCAAATTTCATTACTCTCACTTAATTAGAACTAAAGTTATCGTGTCCCAAAGCATCAATCAATCAAATTGCTTATATCTGCTTACCCTACACAGAAAAAGTTCATCTTCGAACACCATCCAGGCATTGACCTAATAAACACCTACACCAAGTTTGAACAATCTACCTCAATTAGGAGAGTTATTGTGTTCCAAAGTCTCGGCCAATCAAATATTGCTTATCGCTCTGTTTACCCTGAGCAGAAAATGCTCATTATTGAACTTAGTCAAGGTATTGATGTAATGAAACTATACACCAAGTTTCATCACTCTCACTTAATTAGAACTAAAGTTATCGTGTCCCAAAGCATCAACCAATCAAATTGCTCATCTCTGCTTACCCTAAGCAGACAAGGCTCATCTTCGAACTCTGTCGAGGCATTGCCCTAATAAACACCTACACCAAGTTTGAACATTCTAGCTCAATTAGGAGGGTTATTGTGTCCCAAAAAGTGTGACGGACAGACAGATAGGCAGACGGAAGGACAGACAGACGGACGAACAGGGGGAAAAAAAAAATTATACACAACTACAGCACAATTTGGTTTAATTGCCAATCAGTGTTTCAGATTGATTTATTTTCGATATATCATCAACAATTTGACAACCTAATAAACAAATGTGACCCCCCATAGCATACTGAGTCGCAATGAGGAAATTTTGAAAATTGAGTTATTGTTATTTTCACATTCTCCAACGCATTACCTTCAATTTGGTGTATAGTTTGTTTGAATCGGGCGAAAATTGACCGAGTTGTGACTGCTTAAAGCCACCCAACTCACCAAAGTAAGTTTTGAGAAAAATCAAGTTAAAGATTTGGTATGTTTCAAAACAAAATCCCATAGCAACCAAGCCATTTATTTGCTGTTTTGTCGTTGAATATTGTTTTCTAGAGTTTTAAGGGGTGCTGAAGACGAAAATGGAGTAAAAATTTGATCCAACAATTTCCGCCATCTATTTTTTCAAAATGGACGCCAAAATGACAAATTTTCGAATTTTCATAAGTTATGTGTTTATTAATGTCATTGAATGGGTTTTTGGGGGTGCTACATCAAACAATTGCAGTATAAGAATAAGTCCGATAATACCCACCATTTTGTTTTTCATAATGGCGACCAAAATGATAATCGTAGTAGTAAAATTAATCCGTCAATATCAACCATTTTGTTTTATCAAAATGGCGACCAAAATGACAATTCTGTTTTTTCTTATCACCGTATATTTGTAACCGAGTCATTTTATATGTTTTATTAGGCATAAAGATTGTAGCATCAGGGGTCGACTGGACTGTATCCTCTATCTTGTTTTTCAAAATGGCCACCAAAATGGCAATTATTGAAGTTCTTATACTTGGTACTCGTGTAATATATCATTTTAGAGGTTTTCTGGGGTGCTGAATACGAAAAACATGGTGTTGGGTCGATGCAACGAATATTTATCATTTTACATATTCTATGATTTTACCCATCAGTTATGGTCACACCTTGCAGGCTAAGGTATACCAATGAAATGACGGTATTCAACACCTTATGCTATCAAGTATAAGAAAAGAGAACAGTTTTCAAAAGACAACAGTATGCTAAAAACCCTCATAAATTTAATAAAATAATTATAATAACAAATTGTATTATAATGCATCACAAATTACTAGTATTTTTTTTAATAAAATATAATAACAAATGGAATAATAATAGCACTCGAAATAGGATGATTTGTAAAAGAAAAGTAACTCAAGCACTGGAAATGTGGCCATTTAGATGAGCCAGTTCATTTTGCTACGATACCGTGGGGTGTGGAATCATTTAGCTATTGGGTGTTTTATATGATTACTAATTTAATGTTCCGCTGGTGGTGGAACAATATCACTGTTCGTGGTTTGACCGCGATTGCCGAGTTCTAATTAAAAGAGTTGGTACTAGGCCTTATGATCAAAGATACATTATTAACATGGTTTGACTATACACCTTAATTGATACTAGTTTCATTGTATATACTATACAAGTTAAAGGTGTCGGTATGTTCTAAAACAATATCACACAGCAACAATGCCATTAAATCTTTCGTTATTTTGTCGTTTAATATTAATATTTTCTTCTTGCGCTCTTTTCATAGTAAAACATCCACAACACATGCGGCATATTCACATTTCCTATGATAGCGTTATAATTTAAAACAGTGTATACATTAGTAGTCTAAGTATGTATATTATAACTTTGGTGAGATTAACTTCAGTTCAGTTAATCTCATCAATTATTTAGCACCTTGGTGCCAGTGGTCAGAAGATTAAAGTTGTTGATTGGGTAATCAAGTTTAGTAGCCTATCTTAATCATCAAAGAAGCCGCCACAGCAGCATGCCTGAATTAAGATTTTGCATGTACAATAAGTCTATTGTTATTTTAAGCCTGAGGTACCGTAATGGTATCAAAATATGAGTCCATAATAGAATAGAAATCTCAATTTCATTGGCATGAAATGCTTACGTTCATTTTGGAAGCGGTGTAATTAAACAGTGGCAGATTATTTTTCCCACTCGATAATCGTCGCGTTTCGACCCATGGTGATAATAGAATTTTAAACAATAATAATATCCAATATGCATTCTTAACTTTGCATGCCGTATGAAGCGACAGTAAATGGAATTCACCTATCAATAAAATTCTCTTTGGAAAGAAAATTATTGGCTATTTTGTTTATTTCCATTTAAGGACTATAAATTATTTTCTAACAGACCAAACGAGACATTAAATCATCGCCGCTTTGATTAGTTATTAGGAGTAAATAATGAATTGTCGGTGGCCTTATCATTGTTAATTATCAATCAACTAATCATTAATCCGTGAGAAGTGATTACAGATTAGTATTACTCAATGATACGAACGGCTTGTTGATTGATTTACAATGTTTTGATTAACACTCAACGGCTATCTATATACGATCAGAATTAAGTTGTTGGTATCCGAGGAGCTTTTTATTTTGTGTTTTTAACAGTTTTCAAGCGTAAATAATTTAATTAAATCAACCTGTCCATAATATCATATTCATTGTATTGAACGTTAAATCTTTAATAAACAACAACAACAGTTGTTTTCTGCCACTTCTCAGAGTGAATCGCATGTAGATACACCATAACACTGCCCAAATCTAATTTCTATCGTCTGCTTGAGCCTCGATCGGCCACAGAACCACAATGCTTTGCAGTCGTCGACTGGGCCAATCAGCAAACGAGTCGTGTTGGAAGCATAACAACAAGCGGAGTATGTTTACATTTTTAGGAGTTTTAAAACCCTTTTGTATTTCTTCAAGATGAATTCATCGGCAATACTTTGGTCATATTTATAAACTAGAGATTCTCCGCTTTACAATGATGCCAAGCATTTTGCAAGAGGATTGACAGGTCGCTGAGAATATTCAGAAAAAGAGATTTAAGAATACGGTACTCTTACAAAACGTCCAAATAAAGGCGTTTTAAAATGTTTTATTGCTATTTTGATCTTTTGAGTCGATAGATAGTATATTTATAGACTCATTTTTGTGAAAATCTCAATTTCGATCAAAATCAATATTTTCGCTTATTTTGTCTCTTGTGCAAAATTAATTTTGCCGCATTCCGACTCAATAACATGCAGTGGGTCACAAATGTGCCAAGTATTTAGCCCTGTGAGGCAATGCAACCTCAAATGAACACATCAGGAGGTACAATAAGAACAGACGTTTCGAGATAGTGTCCATTCTGTGTTAATGGATGAATGGAGAACAGGCAAAATATCTGTTAACAACTGTAACCTCTATATTCAAAGTCAGCAAAATCGTCTGAGCAGTTGTCACCTATTCATTCTTTTGTAGGTAAATGGGAGCATTTACAAGATACTGATATCAATTTCATACAGATTGTCCAACACAGGGTTCTTAATCCATTTTGAAACCAACCGACTAGAATTGGGTCAATGGGGTCCCGGTTGGAAATGGGTTAATTATAAGCCATAGTATTCTAAAGTAGGTGATTACTACAAAAATAACGACAAATAGGTACACCTTTTTGACAATTTTCCATATTTAATTCACATACCAGTTTGAAGATCACGTCAGTAATATTCCTCAATAAATTACTGTCACGTAACTTTAATTCATTCATAGATGATAGACGAACGGCACAATTGACATATAACAACCATAATTGAAATTGCTTTAAAATAAAATTCTGTATGATTATGATACAGTCTTCAATAATCAGCGGCTGCCA